TTTTTTTTTTTTTTTGCTGAACTAATCCTATATAATTTTGGGTGTTTTCCTAATAGCCCAGTGATATAATATGCAATTTTAATTTAGAATATATATGAACATTGAGTCCCTGCTCAATCTTTGCAGGCCCGGGCTTACTGTGGATAAGTCTGATCGAGTATCAGAATGAAGATCAGAATCCTAGAGTGAAGATGAAAATCCTAGACGGATATTCCTAAAATATGAAATTAATTAAAAAATAAAAACAACTATTTCCGTAAATTCTTAAAAGTGAGTTATAGAGTAGTCAGGGTGAAGACATTAACTATCAGGGTCTGTCTGCAGCTATGCACCAATGATAACATTTTAGGCCCTGTGACAGTGTACCATGGGGAGATACATCCCCGAGTAACTTTCACGGTGCCCTTTTATGGTCTTCTTGATGTTTCTTCTTTAGTAGGTTATAATAAAACTTTAATCACAAGTTAATTGTAACATATGACAAATTCATGTGGATTTGTCACTGGACAAATTCAACTGAACATTCCCTGTGAAGTTTCTTTTTTGTTTGACAATAAAGAAAAAAAAATGAAGGATTTTTTTGATCTTCCAGGCTTGTTACCCAGAAGAATCTGGGCTGTAAGTCACTCCAATTTCTCTGTCTCGCTCAATCGTAATACCTTTCTCAGACTTGTGGATTTATATATTATAGTTGCTTTGGATTCTTCTAGAAAAAGACAAAAAGATTATATCATGTGGAAATTTCAAGTTATCTTTAATTTTTAATTTTAATTAATATTTAGTAGGGGCAGAGCATAATGATTTATATCAAAGAAGGATGAAATCAATCATCTATATTGCTTCAGTATCAAAACCAATATATATTTCTAAATCAATGCCTTGTATAAAATATAAGTCATTATGGTGTAAAAGAGGGCAAGAAGAGGAGAAATAAATGGGACTGTGTACACAGAATGTGAATACATACAATTTAATTGAGCCGGCTTCTATCAGTCACTAGTCTTGAATTTTTATACATGACAAAAATGGAAATCTAAGCATTTTTATTTGTCCAGGTCAGTTAGCTGGTGATTCTGATATCTGATTCTTGGCCCCTGATTTTTTCCTCTAATTTGTTACCTACATTTTATAAATATAGTAAAATAAATGCAGTAAAAATAATTGTATATTGAAAATGTCTTTTTTTTTTTTTGAACTGGCCTACATTTACAAATGAATGACTTTAATTCTCTCTCCTTTTTACTTTGAAATCCAGGGCAAAGCACTCAACTTCTCTCTTTCTTATCGGAAAGATGAGTTGGAGTGTGATAGTAAAAACACACAGAAATGTTGCTGGAAGGAAACACAGTAACTCATTTAAATCACTTAGCATAAATGCTGGCACGTGGGGTTTTATTAGTGTAAGAGATTAATAATATTGTAAATAATTATTATGATCATTACTATTAGAAGCAGAATGAATGCTTGACAAACTGTGAAGATGACTGACAGCCAGTGAAAGATCTGGAATGTATCTCCAGTGCCCTTGAATCACTTTTTCTTACCCTCCTTTATTATTTCATTCATTCTTTCTTGCTTTATTCAAATGACAAGTGTCTATTAAAAACCTACCTTGTGTCAGGCAGTGTGTTACATATTGGAGAAATGTAACCAGAAAAGAAAATAGAGATTCCCTTCCCTTAAACCTCATATTCTTCACTGAAAGATAAAAAAAAAAAAAAAAAAAAAAATGGTGCTACTTTGTGTGATATGTAATAACAGAGTTAATCTCTCAATGGTATTAGGGGATAAAGTGTCCCAGAAATACTCCAATTTGAAGTGCACTGAAATTGTGAGTAGACAAGCTCTGGAGGGAACAACAGTGTTAGGGCAGACTGGACAGACACATCAAAGTGCTCAGATCCCCAAAGATGAGAGGGGCAAGCTGAGTACGGCAGGATGTGTATTCACCAAGCCCAAGTGGGAGTTGAGGGTATACAGCTAAACAGAGGCCTTTTAATGCACAGAACATTCATTTGAAAATGAATGAGGTCAGGTGCCAAGGCTCATGCCTGTAACCCTAGCATTCTGGAGGCCCGGTGTAGGGATCCCCTGAGCAAGAGTGAGACCCTGTCTCTAAAAATAGCAGGTGTTGTGATGGGTTCCTGTAATCCCAGCTGCTCAGGAGGCTGAAGCAAGAGGATCACTTGAGCCCAAGAGTTTGAGGTTGCCCTGAGCTATGACAACATGGCACTCAACGAGGGTGACAAAGAGATGAGACTCTGTCTAAAACAGGAAAAAAAAGAAAAAAAAAGAAGAAGAAAACACGGGATTATCACCTGTGGAAGGGAAGGACTAGAAGTTAGATTTGGTAGGCAGGAACTCGAATTGCAACACATCCCAGTGCCAGCCGTGCCAGCCTCGTGGGGACTTCTGAGTTAGGCCATCCCTCCAAAATTGTCGGGAGTGAGGGAAGGAGGCCACATGTTTCTATTCCTTATAACTTTTGTCGATAGGTTCAGCATATCACTGCGACAGTTTGCTTCAGCAGAGGACTGACAGCTGTCCCTGTGCAGCTGATAAACCCCTCAGTCATCAGTGGTGACCTGAACAATTTTTAGCCGATGCCATGAAATATTTGAATCTTGCACTTTCTTCCTGGTGTGTTCTTTGAATCTTGCAGGTTCTTTCTGCTGAGTTCTGAACTCAGTAGAACGACGCTTGCTTGCTGGAGGGAACACTCAGACTTCACTCTGTGGTTCTCCCTCCTTCACTTTATATAGAGCTGACCATCTGTCCCTGACTACACTATTAAAAAGAGTCTGCACCATCGCGTCATCTCTTGCCCGTATTGTCACGATTGCTCCTGATCAACTATAAGAGATGATGCTATTCGAACGATAACTAATTTGCTTACTACAGTCTGGCCTCTCAGAAATCCCTTCCCCTGATTGAGGTGTTACACTGCAGAAGCCATAATGCAGTGATCCTCCTGAAAACCTCTCACTGCTTCTCAGTCTTCTTGATTGAGTTCTGTTCCCTAGCTCCTTAGTTTTGATGAAATGCCTTCACCAGTGTCTCATGTTCATCTGATGTATATATTTTCAGAGAAATTGTATGTATGAATTTTAAAGGAGATGCAGCAAATGTCCTAAAAAATAGGTGGGGTAATTTGTGTTTAAAGAGAACAGCACGCTCTGGTAGGAGAGTCTGTTAGCGCTGATTCATTATAGGGTTGACTTGTATGACATTTCAAAAGCTATAATACAACAATATCCAGAAGTTTACCTTCTTTTTAATGATATATTTGTTCATTTTGTATAAAAGTGTGCATATTAATAAGGTAAATTTCTTGGATTTTTCCAGCCTCTAATATAAACATAAAGCAACTTCGTAGCATGTCACAAAATGCAATTTAGAAAAATTTACTGGGGAAGTAAACTGCATTTTGAATGCTTCCTAAGTGAGCTGAAATTTTTATGCATTAGTAGTAGTTAATATCTTTCTGAAACTATGCAAACTACTCTGTATGAATAAACACATTTTCGTCCCAGATGACCTAAACGGTAAATACTAATTTTATTCAGAATTCAGAAACATGTCCAAGATTTCTCAGCAAATAAGTGATAAGGACAAGACTGAATCTGTGTCTGTGACAGGCAGCTCATGCCCTTCCTCTTCATGTTCAGGAATTGTAAAGTACAGCTCGTATTTCAGAAGTGCAAAGAGTGGATCACCATACTGGACTCTCTCTAAACACTATTCCTATTTTTGCGTCAATTGAAACAATTTCAGTCGTTGTTCCTTTAAGTCCTTCTGTTTCTTATAAAGTATGAATTTTTTAAAATGTTTAAGCAATTTTTGGAATTATCCAAATAATATTAGCATTAAATATTTTTCTGGGAAAGATGTACAATGTTTGTTTATAATCTTTTCTTTTATTCAGTCTCCTTAGAGATCATCAAAAATTGCCAGTGCTGACTGTATTTCAAATAGTCACAGTGGGGTGTTGGGAAAAGTTTTCAATTAGCAACAATCATGCCGCAGATAGACCTCATTGGTTATGATACTGCCGCTGTGCAAAACTTTGTTTATAATCGTTAAAAAAATTACCAAGTAGGGTGGCTCAAAGGAGTGCCTGCCCCATATGCCAGAGGTGGCAAGTTCAAACCCAGCCCCAGCCAAAAACTATAAACAAATTAAAAATTAAGAATTAAAAAATTAAAAAATAAAGAAACACATCCAAAAGAATAAAAATAAAAATAAAATCACCAGCTAAAAAGCTTCTGCACAGCCAAGAACACAGTAAATAAAGCACACAGACAGCCCTCAGAATGGGAGAAGATATTTGCAAGTTATGTCTCTGATAAAGGTTTGATAACTAGAATCCACAGAGAACTCAAACATATTAGCAAGAAAAAAACAAGTGAAGCATTCTCATTGTGGGTAAGAGATTTGAATAGAAAGTGCTCTGAAGAAGACAGGCATATGGCCTACAGACACATGAAAAAAATGCTAATCATCCTTAATAATCAGAGAAATGCAAATCAAAACCACTTTGAGATATCATCTAACTCCAATAAGAGTAGTCCACATCACAAAATCCCAAAACTATAGATGTTGGCATGGATGTAAAGAAAAGAGAATACTTCTACACTGCTGGCAGGAATGCAAACTCCTGTTGGAAAGAAGTTTGGAGATCACTTAGGGATCTAAAAATAGACCTGCCATTTGATCCTGCAATTCCTCTACTAGGTATATATCCAGAAGACCAAAAATCACTTTATAACAAAAATATTTGTACCGGAATGTTTATTGCAGCCCAATTCATAATTGCTAAGTCATGGAAGAAGCCCAGGTGTCCATCAATCCATGAATGGATTAATAAATTGTGGTATATGTACACCATGGAATACTATGCAGCCTTAAAGAAAGATGGAGACTTTACCTCTTTCACGTTTACATGGATGGAGCTGGAACATATTCTGAGTAAAGTATCATGAGAATGAAAGGAAAAGTATCCAATGTACTCAATACTATTCTGAAACCAATGTATAACCAACCGCACTTCCATATGAAAGCTGTAACCCAACTATAGCCTAAGATGAAGGGGGAAGTGGGAAGGGGAGGGGGGAGGATGGGTGGAGGGAAGATAGTTGGTTGGACCACATCTATGGTGCATTATACAAGGATATGTGTCAAATCTACCATGTGTAGAGTACAAATGTCTTAACACAATAATTAAGAAAATGCCATGAAGGCTATGTTAACCAGTTTGTTGTAAGTATTTCAAATTGTATATAAAACCAGCCATTGTACCCCCTAATTCATTAATGCACACAGCTATGATTTAATTAAAAAAAGAAATTACTAACATAGATACTATCTTCTTATTGTAAACATCAAGTTTACAATATTTAACCATAAAAAAGAATCAAATGCTCTGTCATGTTACTGCTACACTTACTTATTATATTGAGGAGACAGGCTTGACTATGTCAACTGATGTGAGAATTTGGAATTTTTTCATTCTGTGATATAGTCAAGAAGTTCTATTGTGACTCACATTAAAAATCAACATTTTCAGGGTAATGTTGATTTAGGTCAAATAAAACTTGTTATTTAGGAGTATTTTGTATGTAATAAAATCCAAAATTAGTTATCATTAAGAATAGCATCATCTTTTATAGTTGAATACTAAATAACATTTATTTCAGTTCAAATTTATAATCAAATAACTTTATGCATATTTTTAGATAATTGAACTGGTATTACCTCCAGTTTTATCTAAGAAAGTAATAAAACCTAAGTACTATTTAAAATAATCTTGGATTACAAAGAAAAATTATGAAAATTTGGAGATATTTATTCAATACTTTAATTTATAAAACATATTCAACTTCTTTTTTTTTTATACTCCAACAACTGGATACATTATAAAGAAATGGCTTAACATCTTATGCATGTTTAAAATTAAAATTCAGAGGGATTAAGAAATTTCTTAAAGTCAAGTATCAATATATTTTTTAAAGAGGCAGCCTTGGGTATTATATAAATTTAGATTTTAATTTTGCTTCTGCTATTTGCTAACTTTTTAACATTTGGCAATTTATTTAAATTTCCTAAACCTCAACATCACTATCGATACAAAGAAGATAATATCTACCAACAATTACAAGTAATACATAGCTTTTCTAGAACAGTCCTTTACGTCAGTAGGTATATGCTAATAGTGAGGTCATATGTAACTCCTAAAGGTGTGAAGCAGGGTAAGAACTCAGGGATTCAGAATTCAAGCACCAAGATAGTCTCATGAAGCATTTTTGAAAATATCTCTTCTCAGAGTAATTCCTCCTTTTGAACTAGCCATTGTGTAGATTTAGAAAAATTCATTGGGCTTCATTAAAATTAAGTATCGGTCACAAAGACTAAACAACAGATGGTATCCGCTAATACAGGAAAATACTTTCTTATCTGGAGATATCACGGTGTCTGTTGTGAGAACTCTAACATCTTTAAATAAGTTCTACTCTTTTTTTTTTTTTTTTT